AAATTGCAAGAAACACAACAGTTTTAGCTGCGCCCAGATAATCGGCAAAAAACAACAATTGTTAATATCAAACAGTAGGGGGGAACTGCTCGTGCCAGGGCATCTCAGCTTTCAGTGGGGATGCACTCGAACTGTTGCCATAACTCACTCCATCTGGGCCGGCCTGAAAAAAGAATGACGAGTTGTGTATGTAACATGCGTCGTCGTTTTTCAGTGTATGTTCGCTTTTCTCAGTTGAGCTCACGAATTCGGGTAGAAGTGTTTAGAGACCAATAATAATTTCATCAAACTGTCACCGACACACATAATTGACCACGCGCATATTTCCCCTTAACACTGTCGTTTTTACTTCGACTGCGATGTCGGGATAGTTTCTATTGATGAGGCGAATCAAAGCCTCATAAAACCATCTGCTGCCAAGTGGGCTAAAGTGCAGACCATCTCTCAAGAAGGATCGCCAAGCCGCGTCCTTCTGCATTTCATCAAAGATGTTCAAAACCGGTATCTGAATGCAATACAACAACAACAATTAAGAACCCCAAAGGACTTCTACAACTGCCTTACTTGCTTTGCCTCACCCACTTCGAGGGCCGCTCTCGCGTACTCTCCTGTGAATTGAAGCCTACGATTGGGCAGGTCTGGAGCTGATGCACCGAATCGGGCCTTGCCATCAGCGACTATTGCCTCCCCATCAATGGGAGGAGGTGTAACCAAAACGAGACGTGAAGTGAACTGAAATGAGCAACGAGTGAGATTACTAATCTAACTCGTGTAGTATGCCGACGCTATCTATATTATAATCAATCTGTAATAGCCTATTGTACAGTAGAATCTTCTCTGTGCGTTATTCATATTTTTCCTTGGAGTTTCACACGCAATATGAAAAAACACTAGTGAAAAAGTATACGACTTCACGACTATTGCATAGCGCGAATATCGGGTTTTTCACAGAGTATTACGCCACTTCGCGTAAAACGGGTTGTGAAACTCCATTGTATCAATCGCTCGCCATTGGATAGTTGTAACCGTCCCGAAGAATGTTCACATGTCACATATACGGAAGCTCACCGGTTTCACCAAGATCACTATCTCCTCTAAAGCCTTACTGAACTCATCCAACGGGACGTGCTTGCTCTCAGACCTGCCAAAGTGACTCTCATCAGGAGTCAGCTTCACACAACCTACCCTGAGGAGTTGACCATTCCCGGCAGCTGAGAGTCATTAGCACCGAGGAAGATGACGACCAACAGCAGAGGACCTCCAGCCAAGTGCGGTGACCCAGCCTTGAAAATATGGCGCGCTACTTCGAGAGTCATCGGCGTGTTGTAGCCAGAGTATCTATGGCGCACTTCCTGATGGAAAGAGCGTAAAATAACTGAACCCACCCTCTATTGATGATATCTGCTCTCCTTTGATATCTGTCGGCCAATAGTCCACCCCACGCGTCCAGACCCGAGAAGCTCTGTTGGGTAATGGAGTCGCCCAGGAGGAGGATTCGACCTCGACAAGTATTGTAATCTGGCATTACTTCTCAACTTGTTAGATATCTCGTATCTCCCACCACTGTTGTTGCGAACTCAAACCAGCACGACCTCGGAAAAAACACACACAAAAGCATGCGTTCATTAGTATCATCACTGATACAAAGCCTAGATACCCAAACTGCTAAAATTGATAACTTCATAGGGAAGCCGTTCTATAAAGTGGAAGTCTGTGAATCTTTAGTGTGCTCTTGCATTATAGGATGCGAAGGAGGTCACAGTCGAGCTCGAGCTGTTGGTGATGATGGTGTAAGGGTTTAGGGCGTGCGCTTTCTCTAGTAGTACGCAGCCACATAGCGGAACTTAGAGCATGATTACTTCGAGGTAGCTATAGTTCGTTTGTCACTAACCGTAGCCATCTTGGCTCAAGTTTCCCTTCTTCTCCTCTGCCTCGCGTTAGCCAATGTCGGCGCCGTCGTCCTCATCGCAACCCCACATCTCATGGCGATCTCGGTGGGACACTGCGATGTCTGCAACCGCACCGGAGAGGCCAACGGTAGAGGAGGTAATCCCGGTAGTCCACGGGGTTGTGGACCAGATTCTAGAAGGGCCGGGAGTCAACAAATCCCGTATCGGTACTGTTATACGGAAGGGGGCTACTCTGTTGGCACAGTATTACGGTGGTCATGTTCCAGAGAATTGGAACGAGGTTATTAGAGCCCCTGGCGCAGCTGAGTTGATCAAAGA